TCTGTTTGTTTTTTCCATCCAAGATGCCAGCTTGATGGCTCAGTATTGCATTCTATCTACTTTTTTACCAAAGCTTCAGGGGAAGCTGAGGGTAGCATGTGTTGGTGGATTTAATTTTCACTTCCTCAACTCTGAGATTTCGTTAATTATCCTACATCAGGATCCACTGCACTTGGTAGGGGCATGTCCAGTCCCTGAGGGGGGACACCCCAGGCTTCAGATGAGCCCTTCATGAATTGTGACGCTCTGGGGCCTCTGATTCCTTTTAAGTTAGCCCTGGTGTTCACTTCCCTATTTCATTCTTTCACTTCCGCTTAGGACAGGGGAAGAATTGGAGTATTTGTGGGTTTCAGCTAATGTTAACAACGAGGTAGGGAGGTTGAGAGAAGGCTATTTTCACTGGGGCTTCAATGTAATCTTTTCCACTGGTTTTTTGCCTCAAGGCACCTTTTCTTCTTTTCTCTTTCCTCTTCCTACTATTTCTAGCTCTTTATTCGTCACAAAACTCTTAGACATAGTTCTGTTTTTTCTGTCTTACTGCTCTACTTTTCCCCTCACCCAGAGGCACCAAAAGAGTGGCTCCTGAGGGTTCCGGTAGCCTCCAAGGAGTCCTGCATCCGCCCTCAGGGACTTACAGCTTGCAGGGATTTCCCATGACTTCCTCTTGGCTGACTATTTACCTCCCATGCTGCTCCTCTCCAAATTGAAGGACAGAAAGCGAATTCTCATGGTTTTGTGGACGCTTTCTTTTCCCAGCACTGTTTCAGCGGGTTGGGGATCATCTTCAGAATCCAGCTTAGCTAATAACGTTTCTTTTCTTGGCAAACACTTTTTCAAGTGTGTTATTAAGTTATGCTTCTTTCCTTGTTTGTTTGTTGTTGACAGGTGGATTTTTTTTCTGTTTATTTGTGGCGTTTACTATTTTTGTTTCCTTTACTAGTCATTGGGTACAAGGGAATCCGTAATCACACCTCACATGTCTATGTGGGAAGCATCATCTAACTCTTTTCAAACTGTGTTCTCTGGTGAAAATTACAGAAGAAACCATTCAATCTTTCACACGTCCTATGTGTAAATATCAGTCCTGTTAATGGCACAGACTTCTGGGAGGTAGAATGGAGAAAACTAGGTGCAAATCAAAATGGAGGGGTGATAATTTGAGATGGTTTTCAACTTTAAGTTTGAGAATAGATTAGAAAGGGATTTGCTCATATATCACAAAGTATATTTTTGCTATATTTAATAAAAATTTCCTTCTCATACCCTTCCCCACCTTCCATTTGGTTAAGGGTGGGTGGATGTAAATACTGTTTTTTTATGGGCAAATGTGGCCTGCTACCTTGATGCTATTCCTTCTTTTCTTTTTTTCTAAGCTTTTTGCTTCCTTTCCACATCACAGCCTGGCATGCAAATACTTAGAGTATAGATTATGTTCATGCATTCTTTATTCCTGATGTACCTCCCACTAAACAGGAACATTCACATAACCAACTTATAAATAAAATTTAATTTTAAAACTTCATTCCCCTGAGAATCTGGGGAGAAAATGTGGAATGAAAAATTACATGTTTACCATCTAGAAGGGTGTTCTTCACTTATGCCCCAGTTGATGCACTCACACCTATGAGGCAAGTGCTGACTACAGAGCTAAAAACAGGGCTAGAAACAGTGAGTGAGCAATGGAGAGGGAGAGGTGTATATTCGGCGTGGTGGTGGGAAGGAGGAAAACTGGGCCAATGGCTTCTGCAATCAAATATGACAAAGCAGCTGAATATGAACTTTGTATTTGACAGTCCTTTAAAGATAGGCCTCTGCCTGTATGTGACTCTAATCTACCTTTAACAGTTCACCTGAGAAACTCAATTGACTTGTAGCACTACAGACTTTCAACAGTTTTGAGATACTTAGCTAATCCATAGCCAGAATAATCTGGGTACATAATAAAAATGCCTGTACCTCCCAATTTGACAATATATATCAAGAGCTGACTTAAAAGGATGTTTCAGCTGGACTGGGTTCCTGTGGTTCCGACACCGTTCTGGTGGGCGGGTAGGTGTTACCCTTCCTCCAAAGATAATCATTTGTAGTTGTGGCTGGAATGTTGAGGGATGGATTTGGGCTGGTCTTGTTGGTGTAGCCAGGGTTTACTTAAGAGTTGGAGTAGACGTCTGGGGAAAAAAAAGGCTCAGATCTTGGCTCCACTTCATTGAGTGTCAAAGATATAAATCATGCCTGGTGGGGAAAGGGTGGGTGCAGACTGAGGCCATATGGTAGGAGATTGCCATGGAGCCCTTGAGAAGGAACCACCAAAAGGGAGGGGCTCCCACCAGGACAAAGGTCACACCTAGAAGGGAGTGTTAGCTCCCAGGACGCAGTGGAGGGCTGTCACCAATCTCACTCCAACCTGTGCTGTGATAGACTTTGGTAAAACGACTAGGCAGACGTGAATTGAAAAAGCCACATCAATCAAGAGCTGAAGCACTCAGGCCCCAAGCAACTCCTGTGTCAAGATTCCACTCAAGGAGTAAAACTGTCTCCAAGTTACAACCTCCCCAGGTAAGCTCATCCTCACCGCGTCCCAGGTTTCAGTGTGGAGCTCAACTTTCCCAACAAAGTGGCTCCTGGGAACTCTTCCCCTGGTCTTAAAGCCCCTGACACTTGCTGCCACCCTTGGCGGGGTGGGGTTGGGGGAGCAGACACCGGGAGGGGTGAGTATGGGCAGGGTTGGGGCCTTGGGCTCTCTTCTCCTACAGCTCCAGGACTCAGTTCCTTCTCTACTAGACTCATGGAAGCTCTTGATTTCCCAGTGGCTGCCTAGAGGCATCAGGTGACATACCCCAGGAATACCGGGGATGAATAAGCCATAGTACAAATTCTGACCAACAAGAGACAGACGACTGGAATGAGTCTACAGACAGATCTTTTTCCCCACACTCCCACCTCCTGGCTGTTCCAAGACACAGTAACTGGAAATAGTCTCTCTGGAAATATCCCATAGTACTGAGGAACAGTACTATGTGTGAGGGTCTCATTTAAGGGGCAAAATTACTCACTGCATCAAGCCTTTATAGCAACAAGTGGTACTAAGAAGTGATCACCCCATCAGTGAAAATGAAGAGAATCAGTGAGAGGCCTCTGTGTCTGCTGGAGACTTTTGCTAAAAGCTTGGAAGTCTGTGCTTTGTTTTATAAGGGAGGGTAGAGTGTTTCTTGCACACACACATCACGTTGTTTAATTCTCATCACAGCCCAGGGGAACAGACATTATTTGCACTCCCATTTTGCAGCAGGAATAGGACTCAAACCTCATCAGGGCTCAAACCACCTTGATGCTCTTCTGCTCAAAATCCCAGCTGTGGTTTTGAAGGGAAGTGAGGAGGAGGTAAACTTCACTAGAAATTCAAAAATGGTTTTAGTTGGTTAGTGGCTCAGGCAATGGATCAAAAGGGAAATGATTCAAAAGTTGAGGGAACTGGGACCCTTTTAAAGTTATGCCAGGTAAGGTAATCTGTGTTTGTTACCAGAGACCTATAATTTATGTAGATTCACATACATCTTTTTCAAATACTGCATAAGTTGGGGAGTATGTGGAGTGCTGTAGAACTAAATGTATTTGTATGTGTTCAACACACTGCATAATTGACTCAATTATCCATGTGGGAATTATTCACTTTTAATTTGCAATCTGGCTTCTCCTTTCAGTTAGGATGTTTTTGGGCTGCTGTAGGAATGCCAACTAATTTAAATAATAATTTAAGTAAAACATAATTAGGTAGGAAAATTAAATTCAATCTTTTGCCAGCTCCTGAAGATTCTACAGCTGAAATGTAACTCTAATCCATACACTATATTTTCATTCTCCAATGTCATTTTACTACCAGCGGATTGTATTGCTTTTCATAGATTGTTGCAATAGTTTCCTATCTGGCTTTCCTGCTTACCTCTTTCTAACCCAATCATCATTCTGATGACAGCCATCTTCAAAACAAAACAAAACAAAACAAAACAAAACAAAACAAAACAAACGACCTTCAAAAAACCCAGCTGTCATCACAAAAATGTCTTTGCTTGAAAACGCTTGATGGCTCCCCATTTCTCACGAGATTAAGTGCACATGCCACAACTTATCGTTGGATGCTTCTTCATGCCACCTGCTCCAGGAAGATTTCCTGACCCTATCTCTGATGCCTTAGCACTGTTCCCACCTCTGAATCCCCTTAATGCACTACTTGTTTTTCTCTAAGGCAGACCTAGGTATTCGTGAACCCATGTTATCTCCAATTCTCTTGTGACATCGTTAATGGCAGTCTGTGCCGCGCGTTTCATCTTCCGTATTACCCAGTACCTAGCTCAGTGCCAGACCCCAAAGAAGGGCGCAACAAAGGCTCGTCCATTTGAACTGCTGGCAATCTCTGAGGGCAGAAATTTTGGTCTTTTGCAGCCCAAGCACCTAGCACGGTGCCTGGCACATAGTAGGCACCCAACGAATCCTGTTGAATAAACGACGCAACATACTGCAGACTCCGCAAGGCGCTCTGCAGAGCTCCCGGGCTGCAGGTTCCAGCGGCGGGGCTGATCGCACAGCGCCCACGCTGGAGCTGGCGGCACCACATCTCCCGCGGGGTGATGCGCGGCGCCCTGGGCTGTTCCAGGGACCGCGCTCCGCCGCTCATCTCTGCAGCGCAGGCCCAACACGGCGGGAGTGCCTACACTTTCTCTGTTTAAAAAAATGTATATGCACACACGCCTAAATGCCTATGTTTATACACACAAACTACATCCGTAACACATAAAAATATACACATATTATACACATAAAACATATCCAGATATGTGCATACACATATAATAAGTGTATAAATATAAATAAATTAATACGCGTACAGCCCTAACTCCGAACGGTTAGAGTGGCGGGGAGGACGCTGGGGACACCCCCTCGTCCCTGCAGGCCCTCAGAACAGGGCTGCGGCGTCCGGCCCGCTGCGCGGCTTGGGCCTTCCGGCTTTCCGTCCGCCGTGGCCGCCATTGGTTGGGCTTCGAGCAGCTGACAGGCGGCGGCCGGGCGTGGGAGCTTCAAGGATGGCGGCGTCCGCGGCACTGATCCTGCGGGAGAGCCCCAGGTAGCCGCCCCCCGGCTGGCGCGGACGGGGCCGGGATGTCCTTGCTGTCTGTCGCCTGGGCCGCGGGGGGGCGGGCGCGGGGCAGCCGAAGTGGCCCGGGGGGCCCCGCAGGAGTGCACGGGACTGTGGGCGCCCCGACCTTGGCGGTGGTTCACCTCGGGGGGTCGCGGGGCGCTGCAGCTGAGGGCAGTACGCCAGTGTGTGGTCTGTGCCGCTGTTCAGAGTGTAGGATCAGAAGTCCCAGGCCTACCTGGAGTAACGCGGCATAACGCGGCATTATTCCCGATTTCAGTTCTCAGACCTGATGATGATGAGAAAGACCCCGGTTGGTGCTGGAGGGTCTTGTTAATCTCTCTTTTCAATCAAGGTAGAGCAGGCCTCAGGCCGGGAGTTTCAGTAACTAGTCAGAATTTGGTAACATTACTTTTGTCTTCATTTTATTTATTTTTAGTTAATTTCCAGTTAGGGAAGGTAAGGTCTGCTGTTCATGGTGTTGATAGAAAGTTCCCTTTTAAAATAAAACTATTTAAGTAAAAATGATTGCATCTTATTAAAAGTAATTACGTAGTACAGGTGGTGTGTGGATGTGGAAAAAGTGCTGAAGTGTATAGGGAGATAATTGAAGTTGGAAAATAACTTTTTAGTGCCTGGATGGGGCAGGAATCTTCTGGAAGAAGAGAGTTGTCATTTTAAAGTTTACCTTCAAACTGGTATCTCTGTCTATCTTCCTGGATTTCTTGAGTTCTGACAGCCAGTTTCTTTCCTCACACCAGCGTCCTGGGTAACACACACCACATCAATAAACCATATCCAGGATGGTGTGGTTGTATTGTTATCACATAATTGAAAGTTGCTTATTACATTTGAAGCAGGATTTTAAAACACTTGTGTACTTAGTGACCCCACATGGTTGTGTATGTAGTTTTTTCCCCACTAGTACCATGCAGCATTCTTTTCTTTATATTTTTGATGTAATTGCTACTTCCCTCCTCTCACTCTTTTCAGAGTTCCATTTTGAGTTAAGTGGATGCTTAAACACCCATTGCCATTCTCATGCCATTCATGCAATTCGTGCCATTCTCTGCAGAGTGCAAGCTTCCCTTAGTAGTTTGCCGTGCCCACAAGAAAGAGAAAATTTGCCAAATGGACCTTTTGAACAGAAGTACTTTTGGGGGACATCTTCTTGGAAATGCCGTGCCTCCTTGGCTGGCCATCATCTATTTTTCATTATTTCACTTAGCATTACCTTACAGCAGAATTGTTGGAATGAAAACTTATAGATAACTGCAGTTATAGACAACTGTACTTAACGTAAGTACAATTCCTCTTGGAAAACTCATCTTAAAACTTTGTTTTACGAATTTATTTAGCATGAAAAAAGCAGTGTCGCTGATTAATGCAATAGATATAGGAAGATTTCCACGATTGCTCACCCGAATTCTTCAAAAACTTCACCTGAAGGTTTGTACTTTTCATTTTTATAGCTTATAATACTTTCTTGTGATTCCACTGAAACTCTGTTTCTACTTAAAGAACTTTTGGGGAAGTATGGTGTTCCCCAGTGTGTCCTCGGACACACTGGGTCTCTAGAAAATTTGATAATGTCCTGTGGTCAAAAGTTTGGGAAACTGTCTTCATTAAAGTTAATCTTTTTTCCTTATTATGGAACTTTTCAGAATATATTATATGGTAGTATTTATAGTAAATATTTAAGGGTACATACTGTGTGCAAAATTTTCCAAATGTGTTCAACCTTGGAATTATTTTATCATGATATATATTTTGAGACTAAGGTTCTGTGGAACATGCTTTGGGGAAATTCTGATTTCATTCTTCCTCTTAAAAATAATTCTGTGTGGCTATTTTGGACATGTTGATGTCACTGCTTGGTCACCAATCTAACTTAACGTCTTTATTGTGGTATAAAAATTTAATTCCATCCAACACATGTTTATGGAGCACCCACTAATTGCTCTACCTGGTGCCAGGCATCACCATTAAACAAGAACCTGGACTCTTTCCTCTTTGGCCTGGCTGGGAGCCAGCCCCAAAGCCCTTTCTACCTTTGAAGTGTCTCTCAAATCCAAGTTCTTCTCATAGTCCTGGTTCAGATTCTTATTCTCCCTCCCTTGGGCTACAGTAATTACCTTCAAACTGGTATCTCTGTCTATAGTCTTCTCTCTTCCTGTCGCTTCTTCGTAATGCTATTCCATTTATCCTTCCAAATATTTTTTTCCTAAAAACAGTTGATCGTATCTTTACAGCGTTCAAATCCATTACTGACTTTCCGTTGCTCCGTGGGAAAAAGTTCCAAATCCTTAACGTTGTATTATATTATGATAACATTATAATATGACCACAACCTATATTCTCTCTGCTTTGCAAGTGCTCCAGTCACAGTAGACTGCGCTCTTCTACTAGAACATACCATGAACTTTTTCAGCTCTGTATCTGTGCATATCCTCTTTCCTTTACCTGCCATGTTCTTCCCTGCTTTAGTGACTAAACTGTTCATCTTTCAAGGATTTCAGTCTCACTCTCAGCAGTTTGTTGTTCTCCCTTCTGTGCTTCTAAAACAGTTGGTTCATTCTCACCTCACTTCAGTACCGCCTCATAAGTATTTGTTTCATGATTATGAGGTCTTTCTCTGACCTTGAATACCTTGAGTATCATCTCTTACTCATCTTTATATTTCCCGTACCTGATACAATGACACTTATACCATCTGCACTCAGTAACTATTCTTGGAGTTAATTCTTTTCCTTGCCGTTGGAAACACAAAACCAATATCGATCCTCTAAATTCCTGCCTGTAAGGAATTGGTGAAGTAGATGGACAGGAGGAGCAACAACAGCATTAACAATAGCAGCTGCATTTTGTGGCGTGTCCTATTCACAGTGCTCCCTCTGTGACTAAAGGCTTTGTATGGTTAACTCATCTGATCCTTACAGCAACTTTAGGAAGTCAGTACTGTTGTCATCTTTATTTTATTCTTGAAGAAACTGAGATAGAGACCAGTTAAGTAATTTGCCCAAGGTCACACAGCTAGCTAGTAAGGCAGCCTGCTCCCACAATCCATCCTTTTATCCCATTACAGTAAACCTCAGGAAAGTGTACAAAATAATATATAAATCAGTCTAAAAGTGAATGATGCAGGCAGTTGATACAGAAATTCTGCTTTGATTTTCTGAGCTGATGGCTGCCTTTTTAAACATATAAAACAATATGGAACAAAAACTTATATACATCTTCTGTTCTTCATACTGAGGGAGGACGAAACATTTGCAGGGAAAATTGTGATGTCTAGTTTATCTTTGACCCTCAGTCACCTCTGGAGTTGAGAATAAGTTAACATCTATCTTAGAGAAGCTGAGTGGCTGCAGCATTCCACAGAGATACTTGAATGCTATGCCGTCAGAGGTAGGGGAGTGGAGATGAGGAGGTGTGGTTGTTGAGAGCTGAAGCAACCGAAGACAGAAATACACGTATGTGATTACTTGTCTGCTAAGAAAGAAAGTCAGGAAAGGTACAAAATTTTTCTTCCTGGACAGTTTCAGGAAATGTTTTTCCAGAGGGACTCCTATTGTGATAAAGGCTCTTATTCAAAATTTTGAGGAGACATTCAGGATCTGCCAGCTTTCTTTTATGTACTCTTGGTCTGTGAAATTCGCCTTTGCCTTGAGACAGTGGAGCCCTTAGAACAGTGAAACCTGATGTAGGTAGATTGGTGAAGAGGTTTAGGAATTTGGTTGCTATTTTAAATGTTATCAGCTTGGCACTTTAATTTTACCAAGTTTAATCTGCTTATAGGCAGAGAAAATCTGGTTTTGTCCAGACAAGTTTCTTGGAATCCCTAGTAGGACTAAACATGGGGAAACTAAGACAGCTGAGGTATAGAATATGGGCACACCTAAGTATGGGTTTGGGAGTCCTCTTTGAACTGGCCATCTTCCTGGCCTATCCTAGCATGTAGAAATACACGGCAATTTTGGGGGTTGTTACAGTGTTTCAAGGGTGGCATTTAATGCCCAGGAACTTTACATGTCTTGCAGTGTGTAGTCCTGCACAGAGAATTGTTCCATCCAGCATGCTAATAGAATCTGCCTTGGGAAATACTGGGGGAAGTCAGACTAACTTCCATAGCTGGGAACTTAGAAAGAAACATTTATGGCTTTTGAGTTTCAAAAATAGCTGTCACAACTCATGCAATTAAAAAAACGCATACGCTTTGCTCCATAGGAGAGACTTTTAGTCCCTCACACAGAGTCTATTAATGTAACTGTGCTGTATGTCTAGTTCTCAGAGATCAGCTGTCTAGACCTGGCCTTGGCAGGCTAGAAACAGCAAACTCAGGGATTAAGGTGCTGCTATGATGGAGCATATAGACTGCTTCAAGAATTGACTACTGATCATGGAATGAAATGGAAGAATTATGAAAGTCATACATAAGAAATATAAAAGCACAGAGGCCTGAGGTTTTTTTTACTGAACTGAAAAAGCATCAGTGTGTCTTAGGAGTTCTTTAGGATACTGTAGCACAGAACGTTGATGCTCATAATTATGACCTGAGTCATCACAAGAAATTAGTTTAATCCGGTATACCTTGTTTACAAAATTCTAGAAGGGATGCCATGCATTTTAGAACTATTTCTTTCAGAAGTTTGAAATAGAAGTTGATTTGCTTGATAGATTCACTTGTGAGTACCACAGTATTTCCCCATTATGACACATAGGATAATCACAGATGTAAACCCAACATATAGAAATGCCTGAGGGTTTTTTTTGATTGTTACAATGCGTGGAGGGTGCCGCTGGCATTTAATGCCCTGGGACTTTAAATGTCTTGCACAATGTGCAAGATAGTCCTGCACAAAGAAGAATTGGCCCCACCTATGTGGAAAAAAGAGAAAAGGGTAGTTTATCTCTGAAAATGCATTTATTTTGTAGTTAATATAATGTGGAGGGCTCCTTACAAATTGGTTTATTGGGTAAGAAAGATATATACATACACTTTAAGTTATAATGTCTGCAGAGTACTCGTACCATGTCTTCTTCCATTGTGGCGTTTGTGTGTGTGCATGACTGTGTATGTGAGTCAGAGCTCGGACTCTGGACCACAGTTCTCTCTGTCTCTAAATCCATGCTCTGAGTTTTTAAAACCTAGTTGCCTTCATAATTATTTAAATAATGTACTATTTTCGTAGAATAGAAGACTCTATAATTTTCTGAGGAATGTGACCCAATTTCAACTATATGTGGAATTGAGATTGGTTCCCTCATCATTCATGTTAAGAAAATGAATTCTTCAGGAAAAAACCAAAAAACAAAAAAGAAAAAGAGAAGTTGCAAGAGTGGAGCTTTTAACTTACTTTTTTTTGTGCCCTATATAATTCAAAATACTTAGAGGGCTTAAATTAAGCATTTTAATAACACTTTAAATTTCACAAATAGTTAATGAATAGGTTTTCTTTTAAAAATTTTAAACAATGTGGACCAACTGAAATTCCCACTTGGTTACCACTTGCCACTCCTTCCATCTTAATTCTCTCCTGTATTAGTTATCTGTTGCTGAATTACAATTACCCCAAAACTTAGCAGCTTAAAAGAACAATGAACATTTATTATCTCTCACAGTTCTAGTAGGTCACGAATTTAGGAATGGTTTGGTTGGGTGGTTCTGGCTTGGAGTTTCTTATGAAGTTGCTTTCAGATGTTGATTGGGGCTGCTGTTATCTGAAGGTTTGACTGGGTTAGAGGATTTCCTTCCAATCTGACTAGCTAGTGGCATCAGTTGGTGTGAGACCTCAGTTCCTTGCTACATAGGCCTTTCCTCCAGACTTCTTCCAGAAGGAGGTTGGCTCCTTCCAGAGCAAGTGATTTAAGAGAGGGATGTGCTGTCCTTTTTATGACCTAACCTTAGATATCACATAGCTTCGCTTTCACTATATTCTTCTTGTTAGAAGTTAAGTCGCTAGGGTTGGCTCACATTCAAAGGAAAGGAGATTAGGCTCCTTCTTTTGAAGGGTGAAGTGTTAAAGAATTTGTGGACGTAATAAAACCATCATACCTTCCTAGAGGTAACCTTCCTTATCAATTTGGTTTTTATCTTTCCCAGTCTTTTTCCATGTATTATTAAATGCAGATGTGCACACACATGTGCATGCACAAACATACGGAAATGTGTGGTTTGCCTGTGTTTTTATATGTGATACCTTACTGTATATATTGCCCTGCTATTTGCCTTTTTCACTTACCACTTTAATCAGAGATCTTTCTATGTCAATCCATTTAGCAGTACCTTATTCCTAAGTGTTGTTTTTCCTTTCTGCCTGTGTATATATGTTTATGGCATATGCTTTTTAAATATAGAAAAAATTAGCATCCACTTTCCATTTTAAAATTTAAATTTCTTGGACACTTACTCTCTAATTTTATAAACCTAGGACTTAATTTTTTCCCAT